TAGCTAGGAAGTGTATGTATGTAGTTCAGTTCATACAACGATAATGCGATGGGATACAAGTTGCAGGGGCCCATTCCAGGAGGGCAGGAAGCGCAGACGATGAAAACAACAAAAAAAAAATGGAAAGGAAAGAACAATTAATATGACTATCGAGAGTCGATGATGATGGCTAGCTGTGCTTGATCAAAAAAAATTACAACTCGGACTCGATGCGAGTCGAGATTTCTGTGCAAAAAGATCGTGGATACTGGTAACAAATACTCGCGAAAGCTTGCGAGAGAGAGCGAGAGAAAGGAATACCCCAAAGACGTGTTCAAAAAAAGAAGGCAGAGCGATGACGATGATGACGAGACAACGATAAAGCAAGAGCAAAGGCATTCCTCTACCTTCCATCCCCAACTTCAACCTCCGTCTCCATACCTCGTCCTTGGAATTTCTCATGACCGTTAAGGGCAGCTTCCGGCGCAGCACCAAACCCAACATACGGCGTAGAAGGGCTGAGCGTCGCCCCAGATCCCCTCGAAGAATAGGTCAACGCCGGAGAGACCAGTGGAGGCGAAGTCTGGGGGACATCATATACCATATGGTCATACGAGTCGTCAAATTTGGTCTTTAGGACCAAGTCGCCGCCAGCTTTGCTATTAGGATAATTATGGTTGTGGCGATAATGATGATGATGAGAGGCCGGGTCCGAGTATGTGGAACCTCCTCCGTCTAGAGTACAAGTACGATTTATATCGTTCGTGTCAGAGTACAAGTGAAGATGATGATTATTGCTGTTGTTGTTGTGATTCTTGCTGTCGCTGTTAATGCTGCTGACAGAGTTGGTGGATCTGTGTTTCGAATGCTGCGATTGAGGCTGGATCGTTTGAGAGGTCGTGCGCATGATATCGTTTGTAATGTTTCTCGATTTCGGGATACTCATGCTGTTGTGCTGATAGTGGCGAGGCGCAGCCGCCGACGGCGTAGACGAAGGAGGGAGCGTAGTCGAACGAACGTGAGACTGCTGATTACCGATCGAGTTGTTGTTGTTGCTGTAGTTACGATTAGAAGAAGAAAGACCGTTCCCGTTCGAGCTCGGGTACTCGTACTGCTGATGATGCCCAGCATCACGTTCCCGTTCCCGCATGCGACTCGTCTGAGCAGCAGCGCGAGCCCTTCCATTAAGCTGAGATTGAGGGTACCTCGACTGCTGTTGACTCCCGCGCGGCTTGGAGTCATAATCCCCATCCGCACCATCCGACTCCAAAACAACCGGCAAGTTCCCAGATGATGGATGATGGTACGACGACGAGGAGGGATTCAAAGCCATCGTAGAAGCCTGCGTACGGTAGCCTCTAACGCCAACATTGAAATCCGCATGGTCATCTCCTCGACGATGATACACGCCCATACCCTGATCGCCACCGTGGTGACCCTTGCGCCCCATCCTCATTGTCGAAGCATGAGCACTAAGTATAAGCTCCTCCGCAGGCGTATACCCACTCCGAGTCTGAGCTACACCGCCTCCGAGGCTCAAGCTCTGCTGAGGAAGACGATTCCCATACCCGACATGGTTCTGATGAGGAGGGAGAGCATGACCCTGAGCCCCATTCCCATAGTGACTCGTCGCCGGGTACGCAAGGTTGAGATCCACATCTCCAAGGACGGGATGTGCGTTGCGGAGAGTAGGGAGCGGGCCTTGAGGTTGGCGCTGTGAATGCGGAGCAGGAGCATAACGACTCGACTCATGATCACCGACCCACGGAGCTCCATTTCCCCTCAAGGAATCAAGCAAAGCCGCCATAGCAGGCGTCAAATCTTGGTTCTGCCCCAGCATATTCGGTGGAGGCGAAGCCTGATGGTACGGCGAAACATAACCAAGAGTCGAGTTGGCCCCACCAATACCAGCGAGAAGCTTGGCCGCAGATGTCAAATCACTGGCCGAGCCTCGATATCCACCGGCAGAGGCTGAAGAAAGGTCGTGTGCGTTGGAGGAAAAGTCGTTGTAGACTTGGTTTGCTGTGGGAGCGGAGCCTGCAGAGTTACGACCGAGTCCGATGGGAGGAGCAGGAAGCGTGGTGCCGGTAGTACGAATCTGATCACGGCCACGGAGGTTGAGTAGGGCGGCTTGAGCAATGGTGAGCCTGGAAGGAGATGCGGTGGTGTCCGAGTCATCGCGGACGGAACGTTCGGTACGCTATCGAGAAGAGATCAGCTGTCTGAAGCGAATGAAACAGACCAAACTTACTCTCAACTCGCGCTGTTCACTAGTATCTGCAAACCTCACCGAAATTCGACTGCCGGGATCGTTCCAGCCACGAACCATACGTCCATGTAAACGTTCGACGACTTCCTCGGCTCCTTGCCTGGTTTCCAATCTGAATACCAAAGGCGGTTAGTTAATCGAAGATTGAGTTTTAGGACGAATTCAATTTGAGAGAATTGAATGATTGAGTTAGGATTGTAAAGATGACACGAACCTGACAAAAGCAATGATTCTCGGAGGGTTGCTAAGTCTCGTTTGGAAGAACCGGCTGCTCTTGATGCGATGAGGAGATACGAGGGCCGATAGGGACTAGAAACGGATAGATGAAAAAGAGAAGAAAGGTCAATACGTTGCATCACAATGAATGACAGAGAAGGAGGAAAAAGTCATGTGACAGGAACGCGAACGACGCGAGTCCAAATCAAGCAAACCAACTCACCGGTTCGTCGATGCTCAATGGAAGTCTAGAAAAAAAGAAAAGGCGTTCAGTAAGTATGTGCCTGAGATGGTAGACACGAGAAGCGCATGGCGGAGGCGCAAAATCGAATCGAGGGGCAGGGCACGACACGACACGACACGACACGCGTCAGAAGCACCAAGAAGTCTCTCGATTCCACGCCGAGAACCCCGACCAAAGCCCCAAACAACTCGAACGGGAAAACAACGAAAACACAGACACTCACCCTTCGATATACAAGTTGGTACTATTCGGATCCTGCAAAGCGTTCCATTTTTGCTTTGAACGATTCGCCGGTCATAGTCTTTCCACCTTCGACAGCAGAATGGTTGCTATCAGAATCGTAGGCACCTTGAGCGAGACTCGGACCGTTGTCCATCTCGTGAGTCCATGCATCGTGACTTTGCGACGACGAAGGCTGGTTCTGGGTGTAGGGCATACCGGGAATTTTGTGAGATTGCTGTACGAAGAACGTTAGACTCTCAAAAGAAATAAATATGGAACGAACGAACTTTTGAAAACGTTGGATGAAGGTTTCTGAATCGACGAAGAGACTGGATGCATTTTTCGGCTGCTTCAACCGTTTCAAACCTAACGAACAACAATCAGAACGAACGACATCGAGGCAGAACACAAACAAACTTACAGTACAAACCCATAGCCGCTCTCCTTCTCGCCAACATGTCTCGTAAAGCTCCTCACGCTTCGGATCTCTCCGAATGGAGAGCAAAGCTCGAAAAGCTGGTCTTCCTGGATAATGCGGCGGCAAGCCATTAATATACACATTGGGCGACTTGAACTGGTCGTCGTTGGTATCATACGACGTGCAGCTGTCACCAGAGCTAGGAATATGCGCAGGAGCATTCGGATTCAGAGAAAACTTTGGCAGAGCGTCCGAGTCCTTTTCGAGAGCTTCGAGGTCAATGGGACCTGTTTCGGGGACTTTGGCACGAGGCGACATGTCGCTCGAGTTGGAGACGGATGTAGGAATGGAACTGGATGAAGACTGGAATGAAGAAGAGCTGGGAATAGTCGAGAGCGTGCTACAAGTCGGCAAAGTAGTGATGGCGTTTTTAGTAGGCAACACTTCGGGAGAAGAAGGAAGAGCGCCTCCGAATGACTGCTGGCGTTGTCGAGGAACGCGTTCGCGTATCTCGCCGTCTTCGAGGTCACGTTCTAGAGACATGTGAGCAACGGCGAGACGGTAAGAAATAATCATACATACCTATAGTTGGACTACTGTTAAGATTAAGCGTTCTCATAAGGCCAGCGACCTCGCCAGCACCGAGATTAGAGCCATGTTCTGTAGCGTTGTCGTCGCGTCGATATACGCGGTAAGAAGTGGCTGCAGAGATAGGGCTAGTTTGAGTGCTGTGGGCTGAGCGAGACGATGGAGGGGAAACTGGGGTCCGAAAAGACGATAATGGTACAGATGCAAGGTGCAAAGACTGGATTGAAGCTGTAGATTCAGCTGAAGAATCAGAATTCTGAGAAGTTTGTCTTGAATGGCAAGATAGATTATCGAGTTCTGGGGAAGGAGGCGCCGACATTTGTTCAATTTACAAGATAGCAATGCAAAGCCGGGGAAGAAAGAAGAAAGCGATATAAGCGTGGATTCCGTACAAGTACCGAATGGTACACGTTATTCAGTCGATTAGCGTTAGATTTTAAAGGTTATTCGTTGCGTCGAGGAGGAAAAGGGTAAGCTTGGTTTAACCCACTGTCTCGCTTTTCAATCAACTCGGTGTCAACAAAACAAAATAATCCTCCCCCCTTTTCGGCCTTTTTTTTTAATTGCTTCTTCGGTCCGATATTTTTGGGCCCAAAGCCACGGATATCCTTTTTAATTTCCGACGTCTCCGAGGCAAGCTGCAACAGTCGATGAACCGAGATTTCAAGCAGGAATTTTCAACTCTGGTCAAAATAGGAGACTTTTTCGAAATCAGGCACCGCAACGGATTTAATTAAGGATGCATTCAAAGAAAACATATGAATCACACTCACTGCACTTACGCAAACCCTCATGTAAGACCATTTATAGAGTGTTCTTTGAAATACTCCTCGGTCTCACTGGGCCGAAGAGTCTCTACATATAGTAAAAGATTGTCGACGCGAATAATTATAAGTAGTACAAGATATATGCATATCGACATACAAGCCGAGATTAGGAAGTCAAACTCCTGACCTCACGCATTGGTGGCCATATGGGCCGTTCATTACAAACCGAGTTTTAAGAGCCTTGAATTCAAGAAAAAGAATCCATTAGAAGCAGCCCTTAGTCTGGACACCTTACACTGGACACTAGGAGAGTCGAACTCCTGACCTCACGCAAAGACGAGCTGCATGCGAAGCGTGCGCGCTACCAACTGTGCCAAGTGCCCATAGGCTTTGGCTGAGCATCGCTAAACTGAGACATAGTCCAGAGTTCCGATCCATTAACATTTATCCATTCTCCAAGCCAAATACCAGTGCACAGTGTACTCTTGAGGGTAGAACCAAATCCAGTAAGTTCAAACCAGTTACCCACGCCAGCCAACAGGTTATCGAAACTAGTAAAGAGCAGTAAGTCCGTGTAAGACTTCGACCTATGCATTTAGAACTCTTCCAGACAAACCGAGTTCTGAGAGCCTTAAATTCAAGCCAATGCAGGAAAACGAATCTTATAGCGGACCGCCATGATACTAGATAGCAAGGAGAGTCGAACTCCTGACCTCACGCAAAGCTGAAATACCAGACCTAGCCATACGAAGCGTGCGCAAATGCCCATGGGCATGGTACGCGTCGGTCAATGAATCGTAAAGTCTTGACGTTTACGATTCAGTCTTGACCAAGTTAAAACATACTAAATGATCCAAGAAGCTTCGAAGACCAATCAGTTCCATCAGTATTACTATCTATTCCTCGAGACGAATGCCAGTGCGCTCTCGAGGGGATCCAGTATGCAGTTACCAGCGCAGCCAACCAACAGCCAAAAATTATTCAAAATATCGGGCAACAAGTCCTTGTAAGACTTCAAGCTATAGATAGTGCTGTTAGTAGGACTAGTCTAGGTGGGTTCCGGGCCCGTGGGCTTCCATACAGTGGGTTCTCGTAGAATCCAATACAGTTCCTTTATTCCGAATTTCCTTCACTATGCCTGGGCCAAAGTGCAGAGAGGAAAAGCGTCAAGTTATTCGTGAGAATAAATAAATAAGCGATCCTGCCGTTGAATCGCGTCACGGGCACTTCCGCTCTTGCTTCTCTCCATTTCGGATTCGGAATGTCCGACGAAGATAGTTCTCAACAGGGATACAAGAAACGAAGAATACAGAACGCCTGTAAGCTCTTTATCCCCAGTACCTATTTCTCCGGATCCGATCAAGTCCCATCCTTCCCTTCTAATTGCTTTCATTTTGATCTGCAGGCGACGAATGTAGGAGGAAGAAGAGTAAGTTTCGCTAGATTTTAGATCCCAAGAGTTTGAGTCTGACCATTTCCCTATTGACGCCTTATTTATCAGGAAAATGTAAGAGAATATTGCTTTCGACCTTCACGGACTTGATCTAATAATGGTTAAGGTGATAGCGCTATTCGTGCCGGAAATGTCTGTTCCAATTGTATCAATTTTAAGACCCAATGCACGCACGATTTCGCAATGGCAAAGAAGGTAATCCCCTGATAGTGTCGCATTACATGCTCGTGATTTTTACCTTCTTGCAGAAGCGCGGTCCTCCTATAGGGTAAGCGATGCTCGTCTAATCAACTTTCGTTACTAGAGGATTACTTGCACCTAGGCAGCCCAGAGGACAACGGTCAATTCGAGCCACAGTTGATGCAATTCTATCTGTCAGGAGCCCTTTCGAGGTCCCAAAGGACCCAGTAAAGGTGAAACAGATACTGGCTGACCTCGCAAATCACATTATGGATTTGGAGGGAGATATAGCTCAACTAAGACTCATAATCCAAGAATCTTCCTCTACCAACGACAGTGCGCTGACTTCGGGTAATGCAACTACAACTGCAACCGTCGACGAAGACGCATTAATCCACACCTCTCCTACTGTATACAATGGTCCTTCACCTCATTTTCCTTCTTATTCAGTAGACGACCTAACAGAACAACTCAATATGTTCGAGTTCGATGTCAATCCCCAAAATATTCGATATTTTGGTAGCTCAAGCAGCCGAAGCCTTGTAGCGGCCGTGATGGACGCTAAGAAGGAGTTTACCGGCAATAACCATATACTGGACGATATCAAAGACAACAAACGACCAGAGTTTTGGACTATTCATCCGGTTCGTTGTGATTTATCACACTATTCTCAAGCTTACTCCTATTATTTATTTAGTGGCAAAAGAACTCATTCAACTCGATTCCTCTAGCTTTTGAATTTCCACCTGACGACCTATTGGCGGACTTGGTGGATCTCTACTTTACACATTTCAACTCTGTTTTGTGCTTTGTATTCCGCCCTTCTTTCCTCAAGTCCCTCGCAGAAGGCTTGCATCACAAGGATCGACACTTTGGGGCGCTTGTTTTAGCGGTCTGTGCACTCGGCGCACGCTTTTCAAATGATCCTCGTAATCTAGAGGATAGCATGCCTTTCGAACAATCTATTGGATGGAAGTGGATACGGCAAATCCAACCGTTAAAGCAGTCGTACATCGATCCTCCTACTATACACGAAATTGAAATGTATGCGGTATGTGCTTTCGATCCTCTCCCGGTCCTGTTTCGGTAGTAACTGAGTTGAGTTGTCAGGTGTACTGTGTGTTCATGTCAAGTACTACAACTCTAGAAATTGTTTGGATCCTTATTAGTGTAGCGACACGCTTCGTTCAAGACGTTGGTGCACACCGGAAACAGCGCGCGGATTCCAAGCCCTCAGTGAAAACGGAATCCTGGAAACGCGCTTTCTGGGTAGTGTATGGCTTGGACATTTTTGCAAGTACGTTTCTGGGGAGACCAAGGTCGATGTTCCAGGATGAGTAAGTGTCTGTTCGAATCGCTAATATACCAATATTTGATTAATCGTTCTATACAGTTTTGATACAGAATTGCCACTCGAGGTTGACGACGAGTACTGGGAGCCTGATGATCCAGAGATGGCATTCAAACAGCCTCCTGGAAAGCCATCGACTATGTGTTATTGGATATGTTTTTTGAAACTTATGCATATTCTGGGATCAGTGTTACGGAACCTTGTAAGCCTTGTTCGAAGTTCTTCTGTAAAATACACTCACTTATCTCTATGTAGTATCCCTTCAAGGCAGACAGATATGTGGTCGGCAATGAGACTATCAAAGCTAGAATGGAGCGAGAAGATCGTTGCTGAGTTGGACTCTTCATTGAACAAATGGGCTGATGAGCTTCCTGAACACCGTGAGTAATATGGTTGAAACAACGAATCATTCATTGACAGCATTGTTAGTGAAATGGGACCCAAATCGAGAAAACACTGAAGCACTTTCGTCAGTCGGTCATGTTGTATACGACTTACTATTGGGTTCAGGTTCGCACTTTTCTATGTTCGCTATGTTATACACAGCTTGATCAAAAACAAAAGATTCTTGTTCATAGGCCGTTCATTCCTCGGCCAGAAGAGGACTTAATTTTGAGCTTTCCGTCGTTGGCAATCTGTGCCAACGCAGCGCGGAGTTGTCTGCACGTAATAGATGTACAGCAGCAGCGAAATGCCGGTCTAATCATGATGCCAAATGTCATGGTTAGTGAGGATACCCAGTTGCTAACAATATCTGCATTGACAATACTCTTGTAGATGTCTTGTTTTAACTGTGTCATCGTATTGCTCTTAAACAACTGGAGAGGGCGCCGCTGCAATGGCTCTTCGATGATGGCTCTTCAAAAAGAGCTTGCTGATGTCCGCCGAAGTATAGATATTCTTCATAGTCAAGAACGCAGGTGTGATTTTTTTCACTTGGTTCAATACATTTACATTGAACAATGATTAGGTGGGAGACAGCGGGTCGATTCGCGTGAGTCTGTCGTTCACTACGAGCGAAATAAAGATCGTGCTAATTCCACCCTTCATAATTAGGGATATTCTAATGGAAGTGATATCTGTCAGCCACTTCCATCGCGACTTGAGCCAGCCGAGACCGTCTTTGAAACGGGCTCGAAACCCAGAAAGCAATAGCTCGCCACTCGAATTTGCTTCCAAATCTGATGAAGGAGAAGAACCACAAGGCCAACGACAAATAGCTAAAAATAATCGTGTATCGGCGGCGTTTGGACTTGGAGAGGCGTCTAGAAATGCGGCCCTTCTAGAACCTGCTAGTCCTTCCAACTTACCTCTGCACAGCAGTGAGCTTGGAAGGCTTCCTCTCTATGAACATTTCGACTGGGGCACAGATCAGAATCAACCTTTGATGAACACTGATGGTTGGTCGCCAGCTTATACGAACGATCCCACTACAAACACCGAGTCGGATTGGCGTTCTTTGTTTGATCCAGCCCCACCTGGGTTTGGAGACCTTTCCGAACTACCGCCGGGGAGCTCTGCACCAGGTGAGTTTAATGTGGTTCAGGCAGCTAACGTTCGGGATAACAGGTACGTTACCTCGTTTGATCTCTTGTTTGGGAAATTTTTTTTTTGAACTACCGCTCCAGCATGCTCACTAATTCGGACGACTGGACCTCTTATATGGCGAGTATCGATGAAGTGCTTCAAAGCATGAATCCGCACGAAGAGTTCGTTCATGCTAAAGCCCCAATCGTGTGATAATATCCTTACTCTACTCGAGTACTACTAATTACTATGTACATATCGATATATCTGTAGCTGTAGCATGCGTTCCCAAGACCCCAACTCCGTCCGTGTATGTAATGGAATACTATATAGACTGAAAATAGACTATAGAGATTTTGGCGCGTTCAAGAGTTGCTCCAGTCTCTCGTTTACTAGTATAGTTCAATACTCAAGCTCTTCCATAAAGTGCCACCGAGTCAGAAATCCTGAAAACTCGGAGGAAAGGGCATAATGGGGTGAAATTACGCTGAAAGATCTTTATTCTTTTCGTGCGTCCCTAGTTAAAAAACTAGACTAAGTGTTAGAGGCTAAGGAGCATTATGTACGATATCATTAGTACGTCTCCAAATCCGCTCCTGCCTCTACATGCTACAGAGTTTGCTTTGCTCTTATCAAGACGAATGATCGCATAAATAGTATTAAGTACGGATACTTACTAGATGAATAGATGGTCAGTTTCATCACACATGTATGTCATTTTTTTGCTGGGCATGCAAATTCGCGACGCGTCAGGCCGCGGTCACATGCAATCACGAGTCCGCAGCCTTTGTCTTGATCTCTTTCTGACCACGCCACCACCTTTCTTAAATTTTTCCACCACCACGATGACCCGTACAAAATAGACTGCTCGT